GCTCGCCCGAGCTGGTGGCGCCTCAGGGCCTTCCTCGGGTCTCGGCGCCCGTGGGAGGCCGCAGGGCCGTGCCCCCGCCTTGGTCGCTTCTCAGCGGGTTGCGTTTGTCGTTCCTGCAGGGTTGCCAGGGCAGAAGGAGTCTCCGCGGGTAACCGTGTAGGGCTTAAATCAGAGGCAGCCTCAATGCTGAACGTTTCGGTCATAAATAGTCACCCGTGTCCACCAATGCCTGGTAGCGCTCTGGTCCCCAGTCCCCTATGAATTCCTCACTGCCGCGTTCTGCATCGCCCCAGGTAAAAAATGAAAGTACAGTTAACAATTTGAGCGCTCTATTTTTAACGTGAAAGTACTGATTGTACCGCTAACGGTTTCAGTCACGGACCACAGGTGGTACCACAAGTATGAGGAACTTGTTGGAAGGGTCTCTGTTTATAATATAAAAGTCTTTTAACTTAAATTAAACCCTCGAGTTTATTATCAGAGAATTGGTTGCTGCTTCTTTATGTTGAAACGTGTTCCATGTGTTACCTTTTATAGAAACTTAGCCCAAGCCTTGAGAACAGCACCATTCAGAAACAGAGGCAAGAACTCCAGCTTTTAATTGCAGAACTGAAAGATCGTGATAGGGAACTCAATGACATGGTTGCAGTGCATCAGAGACAGCTTCTAGCCTGGGAAGATGATCGGCAAAAAATACTGACTTTAGCAGAACGGTGCAACTTACTGAACAGTAAGTATTGAGTGCATAAAGAATAAGACCCTGGTCTTTTCAGTACGTTCAGGTGCTTAGACCCCTGAACAGCAGTTTTGCAAGGTAGAAGGAGCCATTTCCTACCCTTGGTAGTCTTCTAAATTTGATTGTCGTCTTTCTGAGATCAAAACTTCCACGATGGTACTAAGGTCATCTGATCTTGAAGGGGGTGTGATAATCAGGTAGCTCTTTCTTATTTGAATATGTAAATTGCTTCTGTGGATTCCTTAAAAAAAAATCTGATGAAATAAACATGGGGGAAGAGAACAATTTGCAAACACGCAGGTGTACTGCAGAGCCGTGTGCCCTGAGGTTCTGCTGCACAGCTCTGACATCATCTGCAACCCACCCAGCTAATCACCCGGCAGCTCTGAGCAGTCTTGTTTGACAGCCATAGCACAGAGGTCACTACAGAGTTCATATTCCACCCGACCTGGGTAGCTAGGGAATCCTGCTTCAGAGTATGCAACGCGAGCATCCATTTCTGAATCACATGATTTTAAAACGCTGGATTATATGTATTTCTGAGTTTTAAAAAACTGCATGACAATATCTAAGCTGTTTTCTCACAGGTACCTCGTCTCCTTTCTTTTCAGATGAGCTGATCAAGAGAAATGAAATTATAAAATCACTAACCAAAAGGTTAAAGTTCTTAGAATCTCAGCAGAATGACAGCAAGACAACATTTGAAAATACACAACAGAAGTTTAAAGAGCTGTCTCAAAAAGTAACAGATGCAGTCATTCACTGTCAGGCTCTGGAGGTAGGAGTTGAGTAATGATCTGATTTTGCAGTCCATGCATGTACAGAATGCCTGTAGCACTTGTGAGTTTCACTATTGAATAAATATTTCATATTAAGGCTCTGGAGTTGTATTTGTCTTTTAGTACAGTAATGTTAGGTTAAGGTATAGCTCTTATTCGTCAGAAAAAAGAAAAAGGAAAAAAAAGCTTTCCTAAGCTAGGATTTGGAGTTTGCTATTTGTTTGCTTAGTTTTGGGGAACACTGCTCAGAACCAACTTGCTTCCAAAAATGTCGGGCACTATGATTGCAACAGGCAGTGTTGGGCTCCAAAACAATGCTGATACTTGCTTGAAGAGTTCCAGAGAGTTTTATTTACAGCTTCGATTACTATGATGAACTGTAACATTCTGAAAACGGTTCAAGGATATGAAAATAATTGGTATTCAAGGGTTCTAGATTTTTTTTAAAGTGATTTGGCATTGATGTGTTTATTGCGATAATTTTCCCCCATATACAGTACAGTAAAGCAGTATTGTGTACTTTCATCTGTCTTATCAGCTTGACTTAGGACATGCAGGATATTAAGATCCTTGATTGCAAGCAAATCTGGTTGTAACGAATTGGGGAACAATTTTTACTCCAGTCCTTTTTTCTCCAGATCCTCACAGCGTGCTCAGAATCCCACATTGCCATTCATAACGCTTAAATAAAGTTGTGCACACATTTACTGGAAAAACAGTAACTTTGTATCATTGAATTAGTAACTGGCACTCTTATTTCTCTTCACTAGGAGAAAAATCGAAGTCTCCAATGCTCGGTTTTGGAACTGTCCGCTAAAACAGGCCAGCTGCAAGCGAGAGAACAGGAGCTTCTTACTATGCTTAAGCTGAAGGTAACATCTGTCGTCTCATCAGGCAGTAAATGTGGTCAAACTGCAGTGCAGTTACTGGTGACTGTACCGCAGTGGTTTAGTCACCGTTGATCTCACTGCTGTTTAATTCTGAGGCTTGCTTGAGAAGGGAAAAGTAGTCAACAAACAATAAATCGGTTTATTTTCATAAACAAGCTTGCTTCCTGGCTTTGATTTTTTGTTTTTACCTCAAGAGCTCTGAAGAAAATCTGTGAAGTAGCTATAACCGCTGCAGTAAGATGTACTGTTGTTTTGTCAAAATCCGTACATGAAGATAAAACAATAATCAAGAATACATTCTATTTCATATTTCAGGACGAGGTTATACTTGAAACAACTGATCACATTACTGAGTTTACATGTAAATTCAAAAAGCTGGAAAGTGCATTGTGTACAGCAAAGACAGAGGAATTCAGTCTCAACAAAGAAAAGCAAGACCTCAAACTGAGACTGAAAGAACTAATACTTGAAACAAACAAGCTGAAAGGTAAATGTTTATACTGGGCACCTAATTCAGTGCAGACCAGCACAATTCCTTTTCATTCTGGGAAATACTACATTTTGTTTTAAAGATAACCTTTGTGAAAAGATGAAGGAAAATAATAAGCAGCAGGAAGAAATCATTCGTCTCAGACAAGAAAATGGCTGCTTGAGGAATGAGCTCGCACTTCTTGGTAAGTGTGGGCAGCTGGCTTTTCATGCCTTCACTTTTAACAGCTCAGAGACTTCTAGACAGCAGTTCACTAATATAGGTGAAGGAGGCAGCTGCTTATCTACCTTTCTTGAAGTTTAATAAAGGTATATGCCTTTGTGTGTCATTCTTTTATGAAAGCAGTATCTAGGGCTTCTGCAGGAACAGTTTTATAAAATCTTGTAAAAGTGCAAAGTTCACCAGTATGATTACGCGTGGAGGAATGCATGGCTTGGAGGATTTTCTCTTGACAATTTTTGAGACTTTCATGTCTCCTGTGATATTAATACAATAAAAGGGGGTGCCATTCTCCCTTCTGACTTCTGTTGCATAGAAAATGGTGGCCTGCTGAAAAGAGGCCACATGCAAAACCTCAAGCTTAGGCTCTATGAAATTACCAGCCAATTCACTCTCTCCAGTGTTTCTATGGAAGTATGTTTACAAATTCACTTCTTGTCTTGTTTTTCTTTAACTGGTGGATTTGGTTTAGACAGTTTTATATGCAGGACTTGGTAAACTGCAACTTGCCGTCTGTTGATTGTTTCAGTTTGGTTTTGGGTAGAGAAACTTGTCTGTATTGCAGTGGATAGGAAAAGCAGGCTGATTGTTGCAGCAGTGTTTTCACAGACAAGCAATATACCTTGAAAGATGAGGTGACCAAAGATGTCCTCTGCTGTGAGATGATTTACTTGCCTGTCACTTATCTGCCATTACCTTTGCTAAATATTGATCCCATTCTCATTATTTTAAAAACAATAGTAATAGGAAGTATTTCCCAGCTCTTCCCTGTACAAGGCATAAATTAGAATTAATTACTGAATTTCCTTTCCATGGAAGAATGTTAACATGAAAAAATAAATCAGTCAATGAAGTAGAATATTGCTGCTTGTAAAATAAAGCTAGGTGCTGTTGAAAAGTTCGAGGGAAATACTTGATCTGCTTAGTTGTCGTATGGTTTTTGTGCTCTTTTTATTTGGAGGTAAAACATATCCTGTTGATCTTGTTGAAAATGCTTGTGTTTTGGTTAGGTACCTGTTCTGCTACAGACATACGTGTTAACAAATGTACTTGCTTTGTGTCTATTCACCTTAAGTAATTCAAAAATTGGATATGTTTTGAAACAGTTGAGAAAGCAAAGAGAAAGGATGAACTTCTTCAGTTTGCCAAGTCTAAACAAGCGCGGACTGACACAGAACTATCAAGTTTGCGACAGGTACAACCCTAATCGTGTTTCTACTCTGAGATTACGAAGGCATTTTTCAGTAACATCAAATCTTCATGGAACACTAGAAAAAAGTTAGATCTAGCTATTCTTAAAAGAAAAATATAAAATTTGCTGTTTCTGCTGTGCTGGGAGTCTTACAGAATGTTGGGGTTTTTGGGGTTTTTTTTTTTTTTTGGTTAAAATTTAAAACCCATGGTACAGATCCTTGAATTTACATGTGCTTTTAGCCTTTTTTTGTATAATTGTATTTACTCAGTCCTACAATTAGTAAGTACCACCCTCATAGCAATAAAGTGGGGGCACCCTGTTGAGATAACAGGTCATCAGTGCGTGTGTATAACCCGAGAGTGCTAGGCTCGAGAAGTCACGTGAAAGGCAGGGGGGGCAGGGTGTACTGGGGTGTACTGGGTGTACTACAGGGTGTACACATGCCCAAGGTGAACTCACGCAGTGTAAAGGGGCATAGTGTACTGAAAGATCTGTTTTTCAAGAGTAACTTAAACCGTGTTTTCACCTGTGCCCATTTGAGGTTTTTGAGGCATGCTCATTTTTTTTTATTGCAAATAATTGATCAGATTTTCTACATTAGCTTTACAGAAAATCCCCTGCAGTGAAAGACAGATACCATGATCATCATTCCATGTCCTGCAATAACTGCATAACTTTGAATAATATCATAACAACATGTATTAAATATGAAATAACAATAACAATATTGTATTTGTGGTTCAGCGTGGTTCCACTTCAGAAGACCATTGCAGTCTTCTAGTAGAAATACTGTTTATTGCCTCAAAACTTTATCTTCCTAAATACATGCAGAGATGGCCCTTTAGATTTGGAAGGCTTTGAGCATAGTTTGGCTACAGGTATTGGTTTATAAAAATGTTTTGAGGATATTTTTGGAAGACAAGCAATGTGCTAGTACCTGATGACAATGTTCCTGCACTCCAGACTTTCACTAATGCACATTACTATCTTTAAACAGATCTATGTAAAACAGCAGCGTGACTTGCAATTTCTTCATGTCAATTTGGAGAGCTCTCAGGAATTAAGGCAAAAGCATGAAAAGGTGGCACATGAAAGGAGGTAAAGTCTTTTTTTTTTTCTCTTTTTTTTTTTTTTAAAGTAGTTTGCTCTCAGAGAGAGACTTCACTGTTTGGCCACAACTAACATCCTAAAAGAGATGTGTGCCGTGTCGAGATGGCTTTGCTGGACTCAACCACAAACATCCAGTGAAGTTGTCAGATACCGTTTTTAATTTGGTCAGGAGACACCATAAGTATCAGTCACAGAATAAAGCAGTGTATGCAGGCCAGACAGTTAATGGGTTTTAAAAAAAAGGAATAGTCTGTTGGTAGGGGTGATAATCTGGCCCACTACTACATTTGTTTAAAAATCAAAGTTTATTTTGCTTTCATATTAGGAAATGGGTGCACACCCTGGAGGTTCAGACAGTCACCACACTGTATAAAACATGAAGGAACTCTCAGACTGATTTTCGAAAGTAACAGCCAAATTTGGGCAGCCTTCTGTGGAGTTTGGGCAGGATACAGCAGCCTGTTGGTATATGAACTACAGCAGAACCATGGCTACAGCCTCTAGTTAATGTATACCTTTAACCTTGAGTACAGTTATGTATGCACTTTCAATGCAGTATTTCTGACTGTTTTCTTTATCATGCCATTGTAGCATAGGTGTGGTATTCTCTGCCCCTGAAAGTAACAGCGAGACAGACACGGTTAGGACGGAGGGCACCCACAGGATATGCGAGGAGTGTGGAACTGCAAAAGTTCCAAAAAGTAGGGTAAAAACCACCTGTGAGATGTGTGAAGTAGATAATAGACTGTTGCTGAATGCATCAGACTTGGAGGAAACTACCTCAGCATACTTAAACCGGTGTCAAAAAGTTGTGAAAGTCTTGGCTGTCCTTTCGGAAGAAGAAGAAAAGCAGGATGTTGCATCAAGCTCTGATGAGCTAGGCAGCAAAGTATTTTGTGAGGCAAATGACACAAGACCATTGAGAAACGGGGAAGTTGCTGCGAATGGAGTGGAAAGCAGAGACCAACAAACCTTTGAGTCATCTTCACTTGAATGTGAGCATTGGCTTAACGTCAGTTCTTGTGTAGATTTGCAAAGTACTTTGATCCAGAACACTGTCACATCTGACAAAACTGATAATGAAAATACAACCTTGGAAGAGAGAAACAGAATTTTGTTTGGCCAAAAAAGCAGAGAGACTCCTGTTGCAATTCACAAGTCTGAATCTGATTCCTGTAGTAATATCTTCATCTTAAAAAAAGATGCATGGTGGAAGCCAGTATCAGATCCAGAATGGTTGAAGATTTTCAAACCCGTTGAAGGACATGGCAGTATATGGCATGGAAAAGATTGCAACTCTCTCAAGACTGCACAAGAGATGAAATGTGTCAGCTCAAAAAGGTTATGTGCTTGTTACGTTTAAGAAATAGATAGGTACAAGCTGGAGTTATGTAGAAGCTTGGGTGTACAAGTTCTCACTAATTCGTATAATCTTAAGTGATGTTTAAAGTAACTGCTGTTTTAAAATTAGTCTACCAACTTGAAAAGTAGTAAATCTAAGTAAGTTAAAATAGCTATAAGGTATCATGATTCTATTCTTACGCATTTATTTTTTTCACATCTCTTATCCCCAAGAGCCTCATGGGTAGGAGAAGCTGCAGTACCACATAACTTGCCAAATAAACTCACTGAGAAAAATGCAGATTTAAAAAAATCTACTGATTTTTTGAAATCCCAGATGTTGCTTGTAAATTTGGTGGGTAAGATATGTTCTGACCAGAGTTGGACTTCTGCAGTGATGTTTCTGTAAGGCAAGAAACAAACCTAGATTTTGTGTGATGCTTTAGTGACTGTGTTATTTCTGTTGAGAAATCACACGGTGGCTGGGCAAGAATGTAGGACACAGCTCTTCTGCGCAGGCTGCTTTCCTCACTCAGGGCAAGAAAATGAGATGGCAAGATTTACAGGACAGCAATCTGTCCACTCTCCAGTGTGTCTCTGTTCATGGGACTCAATCCCTGTGTTTATACTGGGGGAGGAAAAAAGGACATGTGGTTGGGGATGAGCAGAATGAGGTTCCTAATGCTGAGAAGAGTTGGAAAAATACTCAGGTATCTTAGTGGTATTGGAAAGTATCCGAGATACAAATGCCGCTTCGCATTTATAGAAGTGGTTTTATGCCTACACAAGCATGGGCATTCAGAGCTGTGACTTTCTGTGGATTTGTTGTGTTGGTTCCTCTATTTCCTTTCAAAAAATTGACTGATTTACCAGCTCTATTTTAGAAGGATTTCTGAAGTTTCGCAGAGATTTCTTAGCTGCATTTTAGCCAGAGAAGAGAAGGAGTAGCAGCTTTTCAGCTTGCAGTTTGACAAGTACAGTAAATGAACAGCTGTTCAAACCTGCGAAGAATTTTAGCCAGCAAGTCTGCCCAACATCCAGACAAATTAATGTTATGGAATGGAAGCATCTGATGTACGGGTGCTTTCATTCTGTGTTTGCTTTTAAAACAGAAATTTTGTAGAAATTATTACTGCAGTGAGACAGGCCTGTTCAAAAATGAGGTGAATGGGCAGCCACTGAAAAAGAATGCTGTCCCGGCACATTCCCACACAGCTTAGCTGAGCTTCACACTGTTTGTGGACTCTCTCTAGTTTCCACTGTCCATAAATCATTAAAAAGACTCCATTCCCCTTATGTCTACCCTGACCTTTCTTATCTACTCCCCCAGCAGCACAAATGACACACTGCCATCCCTCCAAATCTCTTTTGAGGCTGAATCATGAAAACTGCTTTCACTTTTTGTCTTGTCCTTAAGGGGATTTTAGGGGAGAAGGAACAAATACAAACCAGGCAATGCAGATACAGCAGATACCCTTCAGTAAGGGAGGGCTGCTCTACCCATTTGGGATTTGCTGCTGAGCTATCAAGTTTTTCTGATGCCCACATTTGGTCCTAGGAGCCCTGCTAATTGGGGATGGATTGACTCAGTGCAAATCTCAGACTGACTTCTTTCCAGCCTCTGCCGACTGATTTGCCACCAAATAAATTCTCGCCCCATAAATGGGAGGAAAGCAGTAGTATTGCAGTCTTCAGTGTGGGCTTCTTGTTAAGGCATTAATGGCAGAGACCAAGCACAACATTCCTTCTGGGAGTTGAATCTGGATCCTCCAGTTTTCCATTGCTGGCTTCGTAGCGCTGATGATGTATTTTGGGGGTAGGGAAGGGTGCTGGCACCTCCCTGTCAGCCCAGCAAATATTTTTGACATGAGTTCTTGAATTATGGAACAGCCAACAAGGCCGCTATTAACGCAGTCAAATACCTTATCCAACTGCAAGAGTGATTGTGTAATACTGTAGTGCAGGAATCATTTCTGTGTGCTCTGACTTAGTGACTTCATTTATGTTGGACCAACATTTGCTGCCTTTGGATTTTTATCTCAATTCTGATTTTAAAGATGGAGTGTCAGCAGTTACTCATTCAGTCTGCTTCTGCTGGACTAAACCACCCGTTCCTTGAGCCGTCTCCCTGCCTCAAAATCAAACCAGTTTTCCTCCTTCCCTCCCAACCTGTGTATCCTTCAAAACTAGCTGTGCTCATTGCATTACCTCACGTCCCCTGCTTTTGGGCTGCTACAGCTTGTTCCCTCGTGTCTCCCCAGAGCTTTTGCTGGTCAGAAGCTCACAAACATGAGCTCTTCTCTCTTTAAAAGCCTGTTGTAGTCCAGTGTTTGACAAGAGAAGGGAAATGAGATGCAGCAGCCAGTTCTGAGCTGGCATCTCTCACAAGGGCTTTTTCTTAGATTTAAAAATACACCTTTTTCTAACAGTCTTGCAAGGTATAGCATGTGTTGTATCTGAAGAATACTTAATGAAATGCTGTAAATTTGAAGACAGTATTTCCTTTAAAATATACATATTTTTTAGTAATTTACCCGATCTAGGACAGTGCTAGTACTGTGCTTCTGTTTTGTTCAGAAGTGTGCTGAATACTGAAATGTTTTATTTGGGGTGATGGTCGCTATTGGTTTTACTTTTTAAAGACTGTAGGAAGTGGAAATTAGTAGTTGAAAATTAAATTCACTGTATAGCTTGTAACTGCTAGCAGAAACCAGGACACATCTTTGTACACACCGCAGACAGCACTCAGTGCTGTGTGAAAACACAGCACAGGGGACAGGCGATCCCAGGGGAAGGGGGCTTAGTTAGGGTGATCAAGATAGTTTCTCATATGCTACAGCTTTTATTAGTTCTAGTCTTAATTTGTGATTAATCAGTGCTGGAGCTGAGCAAGGGATTTGGTACATTTTGATAAAATTGTGATTTAAGGAATTGAAATTGAGAACCGTTTCTCTAGGGTAGGCTATGATAAAGTTAACTTAAAAAGTGGGAAAAGTGTAAGAGAAAAGTTTCAATGATTTGATGTGCATATTAAGAGCTAAAGTCCTTTTGTATTAGGACAAGCTTAGGATGGCTGTGAGTCAGTGCTCCGATAGTAATAATGTGCTGGGTATGATCTGTTGCTTTAGCTGTCTTTTAAATTGCTTTTCAGATACTCTTGAACACACTCAGATATACCCAGTGCTAAATTAATATTTTGTTTCACTTTAAAACCTAGGGGAAGATGTATGCCAATAGATCATATGCTTCAATTCCACACTGAAATGATAGTCAGGCAGCTGAGTTTTGGGTTTGATCACAGTTTGCCCAAACAGCACTTTACTGTTTGCTGCTCTATTTAAATAAAATAAAGCCTCTTTGGGAAGGCTCTCTTGTGATCTCTGAAGGGAGATGATGACTTTAAAAGACTCTGAAATTCCCTTGAAAAGTACACCTACAAATATTAATTTGCCTAATGGTTGATTAAAAACAAAAAAAAGGGGGAGTAGGGTATGAGAGAAGAAAGAGTACCAGGGTATTGAGAGGAACTAGATACTGCCTTTTGTGTGATCTTTGCAAGGTTAAATAGATACTCAAGCACATGGTAATGTAGCTATTCTTGAAACTGGTTGGATGTCAAACTGTCATCCTCAGAGGATGAAACTGATCTAATGAAGCTGTTAAACATGGGAAGCACTCTGAGGAACAGAGTAATCTCACATGCTCGATGGTTTTCTTGGCTCAGGGCGCATAATTACTTACATTGTCCCATGATTTTCCTTTGAAAGTTTAAAAAGGATGGGGGTACTGTTTCTGGCAATGTCTTAATTTTTTTAACAGTGAAGAAAATGTGGATCTGAATTCTTTTCACTTGGATTCTCCTTGTTTGACATCCACCCAGAAAGGAGACAGGCCGCAAAGATGTGAGAAATTCTCTGATGAAGACTTCCCTCTGGAGATCAATAACCTTTCAGTGACTAAGCCAACAAACAGATGCTGCAATGCTACCATGGACCAAGTCAGTATTTTATTGCAGAATGCACTTCATTAATTTTAAGGGGAATTGTGACTGATGGTAGGAAAGCAAACGTCTGCCAGCATGGAAGAACTAGTGACTCAAATGATGAGACAGCAGGCTTAAAGCAAAGCTGGTAAAATATTCTTTTCAAAATTCTTTATTGTCCCAGTGTGTCTTGGACAGCGTAAGTATAAGTGAATTAAAAAAAAAAGTATAAGCTTTTGAAATTAAAGGCTTTAGGATAATGGATGCTGGCTAATTGGTAATTCCAGTAAAGCACAATATCTAAGTACACTTGGACACAGTTATTAGAAGCTATTGGATGTTGTTTCTTTCTTGTTCTGCCTGGTTTTCCCCTTTCTCGTGTCTTTGTTTATTCTCCCCTTCGTCACTGAAGTACTGCTGTTGTGTGCGCATGTGAAGATCTGTTAAAAAGGAAAGGCCTCTGTTTAGCAGAAATGCCAGCATTAGACAGAGTCTGGAGCAACGTAGCATTTTGAACTGAGACATTTCAAAATTAAAGTGATGATTCTTGGTATGTTATAATCCTTTGACATACTCCAGAAAGATAATTTCATAACTTTGGCTCACTTTCTGTCTCCTCCAGGACACTAGTTCCCCCATAAGTAAGCTGCAGCATGTGTTGGCCGAGTCTCGACAGATGGTTGCTGATCTGGAGCTTAGCACTCTCCTCCACGCGAGCCCTCGCTGCAGTCCAAACCACAGCAGCATTAATACGGTATATATTACTCCCCTATGACTAGGTTTAGGTGGCTGGGAAGAGTGATTGTGAACGTTCTTTCACTTATGCTTGACTTGTGCTGTGACATTATAAACAATATCATTCTCATGCTCTGCTAAAGAGAAAATTCCTGCATCCCTTAGCATAAAGTACTTGGAATTTTTTTATAGGCTTCTTTATGGCTCCTCAAGGTCATGACAGGATTTGACTTTTTCATGTGTCTAAATGGAAGATGGAAGGAAGAAGTCACTTTGGAGCAAGCTGTAGGAGGTCTAGAAAAAAGTGAACAGAAGTATGACTTGCATTCAGAGCTGGTTTATTTAATGAGGTATATTTGTGGAAAGGAGGACAGTACAGGAAATAGGTGATATATAAAATAGTTTTGTATATGAACTTAAACCAGACTCTCAGCCTAAATAACTTCAGAGGTTTTGTGGGTTAATATTTTTAGTTCCTTCATTGCAGGGTGAGAGAACATACTCAATGGTCAAAGAAAATAACCTGTGTGTAGCTGTCACGGCAATTATTTTACGAGCATGAACGCTGATAGGGAGTTTCTGCCTTGAGTACGTGGGCTATAGGAGTAATTGGAGAAGGGGGCACTTGTTTGTTTTCATAAATATCCTTAAGAATTTCTACCTTGTTTGCCAAGGAGATTGTACCACTTATCACTAGAAATCAGTAAACTTGTGCTGATATGTATCATAAAGGGAGAATTTAGGGGTTTGGTTTTAAAACAGACTCCTAATGAGGAGGCTGCATGCTGAAAGCTCAGTTTCCTCCTGAAAGGTATTACCTCTCTCTCTAAAAATTTTGCTCCTTATAGCCTTAGATGAACTTGACCAGAACAATGTTACTGTAAGTAACAGACAAAGCGATTTTGATAACATTCAGAACCTTAAAACCTTAGCTGTGCTGGGACTGACTGACAGACTGTAAAGGTTGTGCGCCAGCATTTGCATAAACTGAAAGGATATTTTGTTCAGAAGTTCATGTGCAGGATTTCATTCAGCATGAAAGACAGCAGCAGTGTAGTCTTTTGCAAAGACTGTCTTGTAGGAGGGATTCCTGAAAAGCTCTCTACCAAACAGTGGTTGCTTGTGGCTCTTGCCCAACCCCATCAGCTGTCTGGCTCCTGCTTACTGGTTGGCACGTCACAGCTCTGCTAAACTGGCTGTCCTTCAGTAGTGAGCATGACTCTGCTTTATAACCTGACACTGCATATTTGAGCTTGGAAATCGGCTTCTCATTCAGAACGGTTGCTCTAGCGGGTAGAAAATAAAGCAGGCTCGTGTTTACTGGTGGGGGAAGCTTCTGAACCACATCTGTAGAACTTTGATCTACTTTCAGAGAGGTTCAGGGCCAAAACTTGTCAAGCATGTTTTAGTTAATCTATGCAGGCCAACTAATCTGTGCTTAAAACCAGGTTTACCAGAGGCTGTTTTAAACTGCACTTCATATATAAACTGATAGAGAGAGAGAGAGAGAGAGAGTATAGTATAGTATATATATCTCGCTCTCAAATATAACCCTTAGAGTATAACCCTTAGAACCTGTTGGGTTCTGTGCCCTGCTCGGGGGAGGGAGGAGAAGAGGGAGTTAAAAAGTATATCCTGCTGCTTGCCAGATTGAACTTGGCAGCTCTGTAATTTTTACTATCTGAGTTCTTTGATTTCCATGTAGTGTTTTTGCATTACAATATAGACAACGGAACTCGCAGAAGCTCTTCACAGAACCCAGTTATCTGTTGCAGAAGAAAGAGATGCTAAGCTTCCATTCTTTTCTCTTTGATGCTCTGTGAGTATGAAGGTGTTCTCAACTTGATTTTTTGTTTTGGTTGATTTTTTGGTTTCCCTCTTTATTATTGCATCTGCAATATTAATACAGGTCTATGGATTTCTGAGATTACTATGGACATGGTTTAGTGGTGGACTTAGCAGAGTTAGGTTTACGGTTGGACTCGATGATCTTGGAGGTCTTTCCCAACCTGAATGATTCTATGATCCTGGCACAAGATTCTAAGTGCACTCTGAATGCATTTCCAATAAAACTCTTGTGAGTACTATAACAGCAGACAGATACTAAGGCAGCAAGTAATTCCTTTAGTTAAATAATTAAACTTTTCTCAAGCATGGTCCTCATCCTCTGGGCAGTCAGATCTTGCAGCTCCATTCCCGAGTACCTGCACACCGCTTATTGTAGTTGAAGTCCTCCTGTGTGTTGCAGATAACAGGATCAAGGATACGATCATTGTTGAATAAGAGATTGGGAAGTGTTTTTCAGTGCCACAGCCAAGGGCCTTTTTATTATATTGTTCCTGGGCTATGAGCTCCAAAAGTAGAATGTATTGAATAGAGCTGTTTCAGAATATAAAAAGCAGCCTTGCCCATAGCAGGTGGTTTTTTCTTTTTGAACCAGGAAATTTCTCACTCTGATTAATTGTTCTACTAATGTGAATTGGATGCTTGCAATAGGCACCACATTGTCTGGTTCTGAGGACAAGAGTAACCAGATACGGTTAAAATACCAAACACCACATGAAACTGAATAAGAACTAGCAAGAATGGGAGGAAAAATTGACAAAAAAAAGAAACCTTCTAGTGCTGACACAACCCAAGCACATGTCTGCACAGAGAAGTTACTACACAGCAAGCTGGAGCATGAAGCTGTGGGGCACTGGATTCCTCAACTGATCAACTTCGATCCAGTGGGGAGCTGGTGCGCAGTTCTCTCTCTCGGTGCATTCAAACTGCAGTCCCTGAACTGTTTCTCCCCTGTGGAGCTAAACCCGCTGTGCCCCTGGGGAGTGGTGTTGGTTTGTAGCCCCTCACATTCTGCTGTTCCTGCATTAAGTCCAGAGGCACTGAGTCGTCTTTCAAAATAAGTTGGGTCTGCTTAGTGCACGCTAATGGGGCTGTCATAGGAAATGGATGCTGAGTAGCTGGAATGCCATACCCTCTGCTGCTGTAATGTTCCTGTGTGGAGATCTCTTCTCTTCCTGAAAAGGGCCCTAAGGTAAAAGAAGCTGGAGGTTTTATAGATCGGAGCCAGCACTGTGACTTGCATCCTGAAACTACTGATGTTAAAAAGTTTCAGGAGCAAATCCCCAAAATTGCTGAGCACTATGCTGATACAGCAAAGCAGTAAGCGTACGCTTAGCCTCCAGAAATAATCTCATTTGCTTCAAGTGAGAAAGAGCTGGTTGAACAAACGTGCCCACAATTCACTGTAGATCCGTGGCAAGAATTAGTGACTGTGTAAGTCACTGGCTGCTGCATAATTGTTATTTTCTTTGTGTATTAAAAGGCACTGAGTCACCGTGATCAGTTAAATCCAAAGCAGCTTTTGCAGAGTTGATAGCAGGTCCAGAAATAACTAATGTTTGTGCAATTTCATATAGAGAAGTGATGATTTTGTTTGGGTTGTTGGTTTTTTTTTTAATTGCTTTAAAATAATTTGAGGGCAGATGCATTGATAAACATTAGGTTAGTTTTCTAGCTAGCCGATGGTGATTTAGCCGTTTTCATCAGTCAGTTGTTTGTCCTTTAGAGAGAGCTTGGGTGGGGACGAGTTGAAGAACAAAGGAGGAGAGCAATGAGTAAAAGGTTATATTCAGTTTTGGACGTTGTAGCATGTGGCATTGCTTGTAAGCTGTGACTCAGTGGCTGGCCGAGGGCACAAAGATCGCTCCTTTTTGCAAAACAAACTGGAAAGGTTCTATTTCCTAACACTCCAGTGGTGTCCCTGAGACTGTTGTCTTTCTGTGAAGCACTTTGCCTTTCTCCTCTTTATGTTTTTACTCTGTGTTTTAATCGTCTGCAGTGTGAAAGTTTGTATCATAAATGGACATACATGCGCTTGCTTCATATATTTTAGAGGAAATGTTCCTGCATTTTAATAAAATTCTTTCATTTTCTGCAGTGGATGAAGAAGTTCCCAATATAGAGTTGATTTTGAGAACTGAAGATAGTCCACCCATCAGCTACAACGGAAAGTTACCTGATTTTTTCCATGGGTCTGTGAGTGTTTGAAAGACTCTCAAGTGGCAAAAAGATGTGGCTATGCGGGACTATATTTTGTCTTGAAATAAAACATAGAATTATGCCAAGATTAACAAAACTATTTTTATAGCTGAGAGCTCAGGTTAAACGCTAGCTTGTTTTTTAAGAATCTTGCGTGTGTAATTGCTATGACATAGGAACTGTTTTTCTTACCATTTTTTTTATGGTGGCTCAGAAATATTTATAGAGTGTGACACAGCCAAGCATTCTTTTTTTTTTTTTTTTTTTAGTTTTTTGTTTTTTTTCTGGTCAATTTTAATACTTCCCCGTAACTTTAATTTCCCCACCCTTCTTGCCTGTTTTACTTGAATTTAATTTGTTAGTTTGTTGTTTTTGTTCTGGACTTCTTGCCGTGTAGAGAGAGATGAATAATGTTCATAGGAAGTTCCCAGTTAGTGTTGTAACCAGGAACTGCCGCCTACGTTGCTGGAATGGGAGAGCTGTCACCCACAAGATGGGCAAAACAACGCTTCCCCGGTCGGGAGCTTTTTATTCTAACAAAAGCTTATAAGAAGATCAGGTGTGTGTATGGGCTCTGTTCGCGCTGTATGGCAGCAGCGAAGCATGATGTGACTGACTTTTTAGCATTTAAACTGTTTTTATCTTCAACTGTTGGGCAAGACGTGTTCCATTACCAGAATTTGAACTTACTTTTTAACTAAAAGATCAAATAAGCTAATAAAGGTGATACCTTTGCTGTATCTTTCTTGCCTGTTTAACACACCATCCAATACATTTAGTGCTTGGTTTATGACGGTTCTCGGGCACATAGGAGACATGAGTGGGCTGCTCGGTCGCATGTGGCTTGTGAGTGGCTTGGGATGCCCGTGCTGAGTCCACATGGCTGAGTGCCACGCCAGCATTTTTCCTTCGTGGGGGCAGCGAAGGGGTGGGAGTCTCTGCCACAAAATTAATTGCAGTGAAATACAACACTTACACCATGGTTTCCCCTTGTTAACTCTTTCATATAATTTTCCGCTTTCTCTTTAATTACCTAAATGACAGCCTTCGTGTACTAATGGCCTCAAAATTAGTCGACCAATTCTGAACATAGCTGCTGTCCTCCAAACCTTTCCCTCCCTGCCCGCAAGCATTACCCACAGAGGGAATTGCTGCTTCTCAGGTTTTTTTCAAGTTTCCACAAGCTTCAAAGTGCATTTGATTCTTCTACCTGCGGAGGAACTATCCGGGCTCCATCCTCAAATCTGCTGCTATGGATATGACAGAAATTCCCCCCAAAATGCCACCGATGGCAGTGCCCTGGCGCTCACCCCGAAGCTGTCCAGCAGCTATACCCTATGGCGAACCCAAGAGAAATGGCTGCAATTTCCTAGCATGGGCTGTGCTTTCCAGTTTAAATGTGTTCAGTGTTAATGGGTGAACGCGCTGAAGCCCCTTGTGAGTTTAAAGTGCTCTGGTGCTGGCCTTAAAATCAATACAGAAAACTGAGCTCAAGCGATGCAAGAAGGATCCGCAGAGCCCTAGGATTTTGTGTCAGGGCTGCCCTGGGCTTGCGGAATGGGAAGGAGGGGAATATTGGGGTTAATTTATTCAGGCACTAAGTGACTTACAAACAAGCAAAAAAAGTAGTATCTGCCACGCTCTGAGGCTCCTATCGAAACTCAAGCTGTATCAAACTCCGCTGCCTTATTTCTGGAAGCATTACAAATGCTCCGGGGAGTGCCTTTGCTATTGTATTCTTGTCCTGAATTATTATTAAAGAAAACAAAGCTGCTGCGGGGCTACACCCTGCTTTCCGCAGGGGTGGATGCGCTCTCTGCTGCTTGGCTCCCCTGAAGGGAAGACAGGAGCGGGTGGTAACGAAGCTCCGAGTCTCTTAAATGGACTCAATGTGTGTTTTGGCGGGGTTTATCGCGGGAGGGATGCAGAGCGGCTCGGTTGTGCTCTCAGAAGCAGCGCGTGGAACGGAACACGGGAGTCCGGTAGCGCGGGAAGGTTCACGCC